GCACTAGTTTGTCCAGGCTCCAGTGGAATTTTAAGCGCTGCTCCCTTGCTGTTCCCTGATTACTTGTTTCAGTTCTAAAGGGTCATCTCAGTTGGGGAACCAGCATCAGGACAAGATTTACTGACCCCTGCATTTCCTGCACGAGAGAGCTCACACTTTCCAGTGAACCAAGCTTATCTTGCGTTGTCTGTCACCTTTGTCCCACCTTCAGGCAGACCACAGCAAACACCATCTCCCAGAGCTTCCTGAGAAAAATCATTGATTCCTCTGGACAGTGTGCGGGAGGGACAAAGCTGAAGCCTCAGGGTCACTGGCGGCTGCCAGAGCGTACTGCTGACATTCCCTGGCCCACAGCGCCCCCATATACTCCTCAACGTGCCATGGCTGCATTATCGGAGATATTTTTCATGCCGTCATTTGTCTAGGAAAATTCCCTTGCGGAGCCACTCCATTGGTACCAGTTATTAGGCAGTGGACCTGACGTTGAGAGTAAAGCAATGAAAGGTGCTGATGCAGTCTGTGCCCTCGGAGCATGGAGTTCTGGTGGCCCTGGTCTGCAGTGGATTCCCCTTCTTCCTCCCGGCATGCCCTTCAGTCTACTCGGTAACTGCAGCTCATCCTGTCTGTGTCTCCGGAGGTCAGGGTCCTCTCACACAAGTGTTCGCTGCGGTGGAATTAACCCTGCCTTACCTCCAGTTACTGGTGTGTTTTGGCCCATCTTTTGTACTCGCCACATTTTTATGGCCATAGCTGCTGTTCTTTGAAAAATACTTTGTATCATATGCACAGACAATGCTCTCTGCTTTCAGAATGGCATTTCTGTTCAAATGCAATATTCATTGACTTATATAATATAGACTAAGGCACAACAGAAAGAGCCCAGTGCGGCTCAGCACGTGAGGCCTGCCGGCACTCTGGCATCTCATCCCTGCTCCTTCCTGGGCATCATCTTCCTTGCAGAGGTAGCCCTGTCCTTAATGTTGTGTTTCTCACCTTCTCCCTTTTTAAAAGAAATGGTTTCAACTTATGTGTACACGGCTATCTTTGTAAAAATTGTTTGGGGCTTTTGAAAAGTAAAGTTTAGGACTTACAAATCATGCTCAGCATTATGTTCTTCTCAGGTTAATCAATCACCTTGGAAAGTGAGTTGGAGCTATTTGGTAAGAATAGCAGTTACCTATCCTGTGGCGGAATGTTTTAACTTCTAGGGGAGACTACAACATGTTCGCTTGTGTGTGTCAGGAAATATGAGCCAGTGGTCATTGCAGGGCCGTTAACGGCAAAAAACCAACCAAACAAACAAAAAACAGCAAAAAAACCACAACTACTTCAGATAATTGACAACAGAATGGATGGGAAAATGTTTTGTTTTGTTTTTGTTTTGGGTTAGTAATTAGAATGAATAGATGACTTACTGCTGTGAACTTCTTATTCCTGAGAAGTTTTGGAAGATGGATGCAACCCTCGTTTAGTTGAAAATAAAAGAAGCTAGGAAGCTTGAGTAGATGGTTCACAATATGTACCTATCATGTCCCAGAACCAAGAGTGGACTTAAGGTTGTTGATGCCTTAAAGTCTTAGGTAGTTGGAAATACTGGGCCCAGCTGCATAGTAACCCTGCAAATCATTTGCAGTAGTAGCACGGATGCCGAATGATGTGGAACACCTTCATTTTCTGCAGGAGGCAGATAGGAGAAGCTTAGTGTGCTGAGCACAAGGCCACAGGTGGCATCAAGAGCCCCTGTCATGTAGCTCTGCTCTTCTCTCCCAGAGAGCCTTCTGCGTCTAACCCGCATGTTCCCACTTGGAGGCAAGTGGCTGGAGTGGCCTGGTGGGCTTAACACTGGTAAAAACATAAATAGCCTGTCACTGTCTGTGCTAAATTCTTCAGCCTGAGCAATCCCCCCTCCCACTATTTTATTGGTGGTTGGAGGAGCCTCTCCCCTGCTGCCTGTGAGTATGGCCAGGCTGCACAGGCACAAGTGAGGCAGGCTTTGTGCAGCTCTTGAATGCCACTGCCACAGCTGACCTGTGGAATACTGCAGCATGGGATTTGGTTGGGGGGGGTCAGGGTTGGGGTGGGGGCAGGTGGGGGTAGGGGGGTAGGTAGAGGGGTGGGTTCCCCATGGGGTTGAAAAAAGCAAGGGAGTAGATACATCATGCTTTGGGTAAACCAATAGTTCTTTTAGGGTGGAGTTTATTAGCTACTTAGGAGTTTTTGGTACTGTAAACAAAACTCCAAAATGAAATTCCCAACTTTAATTTTCTGACTGCCTTCTAAGGGTCTGCCATTCTGTGCCCAGCTGAACGTAGCAGATGTATGCTTTCAGTCTGTCTCACAATCCTGAAGGTTTTGGGTCTCTGTGAATTAATAAGGGCCATGAGTGGGGTCTTGCAAGAATTACCACCTGACTTTGTCAGACACTACAAAGACTAACAGAAATAACTGGCTGGGTTTGCTTTCATGCTATCACCCTAGTGAGGATCAAATCTAAAAAGAACAAAAACTCACTGGGGCAAAGGTAATTTGCCTGCGATTTGTGTCTCTGGCCTTTGTGTAGCTGGAGACCTGCTGAGCTCAGGTGAAATGCTGCCACCTCAGAGGCCTTTTCTCTTTGAAGTGTGCAACAGCCACACTCCTGCTTGTGTCCCAGAGAACCTCACCAGGTGTGTCTTCTTTGAGTCCCTCTTAATTATTTAAAGTACCAGGGACTGAAGAGGACCTCAGTGGTTTATAGCTCTGGTGGAGACCTGGCTTCTATTCCCAGCACCCATACGGTGGCTCACAGCCACCCGTAAACTCTAGTTCCAGGGTATCCAACACTGTCTTGTGGTGTCTGAGGGAACAGGCACACACACACACACACACACACACACACACACACACACACA